CAGGACCTGTGTTCTACCAAACAAAGTGGTGGTGATGAAAGTTTTATCATAGGAAGTCAGGTAGTCAAAGTTTTCTGGAAAAACACTTGAATTAAATGTATTGATATATGAAAATATGAAAAATATATTCCGCCACCTAGTTAACATACTTATTGAAACAGCGGTGACACTTGCATTTCTATGTTTACAGCATTCTTTCAGCAGATACTTAATGCAATAAACCACTTTGAGCTTGTTTATACCGTAAATTAACTGACCTGTCACTAGAGTTGGAACTCATAAAATTGTACAATAGTTCTGGATTGGCAGATAGAGAAATGCTGCACAAAGAAAGACATTTCTTTTGCAAAATGAAATTGATACAAGGGTTTGGGAAGTTTGTCAAGCCAATCAGTTGCTTTGTCAAGAAAAATAGTGTAGGCTGTAAAAGGTAGGTATGTAGTGAAATTAGGGTAGCAATAAGTAAAGGTAATGATTTAATGTACAGGGATGAAAATATTTATTTATTTGTTTGTTGGTTGGTTTGTTTTATGGATGTTTGCTGTTTGTGTTATTTGCTTTGGAAGAGAGGAGGATGTCTTACTTTTCTTTGGCATGAATGCTCTCCTACCATGACAATGTTCTGAGAGTCTCTGAGAGATCAAGAATTGATTAGGCAGAGGCTGCAATGAGAGATGTCCCCAGATCTCTACCACACTCTAGTAACCTGTAATCCTGTGATTTTCAGGGGTCAACACCATTTGCCTCAAGTTCTTGATGGCAGATGGCAAAGTAATCCTGGCTGCCTGGAAGGTAGTTGTGATCCTTGTGTTCACGATAGTGACTCTGTCAGCTGTCAAATCAAGTGCTGTGTATGTGTGTGAAAGCTTGAACAGCATCAGGCTGATACGTGGTTTGCTGATGGCTGCATCTCTGTGGTCCTTTATCCCCCATATCAAAATCATAGACTACCAAAGGGCAAGGATATTTACCTGTTGGTGAATGATTAAATTAGTATCTGTCAGCTGGGATCAACTGAGGCTGGTCAAAGGCTGTCTCTTAGCCTGTGGCAAATAGAAATGTGCTCACTGAAACCATTAGGAAAGGTTATTTCATTAGTGTGATACCTGTGGACAGTCTGCTTATTTCACTAAGACATGGCTCTAGAAACTATTTTTAGTTTTTAACAGATTCTGCTGCTACTTGTTTTCAAGGCGTTTAATAATATGCTGTTACAGAGAGCCTCAAAAGCTAAAGGAAAGTATAGCATATCTTACTTTTTAAAGAGAGTATGTCATCAGCTGAAAAATGAAAGATTAAGTTGCTAAGGTGAGAAATACTAAAAATCCTTCAGGAAGCTGGTGAACAATAGTATGACTTTCTTGGTTTTGCTGGCTTGGGTGTGCTTCCTGTTTGTTCAAAGTGAGAGAGTGAGAGAGTATTTTTTATTTTTCTCTGCCTTATGAAGCCGAGACTTCTCATGGTGTACCACAAGGAAAATGAAGCCTTATTTTCTCACTTGAAGCAGACCTCAGCAGTTTTACTTAATTCTGGCTGTGCTGAGAGTTGCCTGCACTCACAGATGCTCATTGGGATTGATCCCTAGAAATGAAAACCTAGGAAAAAAATTAAGTATAAAATATGTCAGCTTATATTATACTACATTAAGTATAAAATATGTTAAAATTAAAGGCTGGCTTGGACTTCCATGTTCGTTCATGGGGCAGTAACTTATCAAGGATAAATTGGATCAGTCAGCACCAAGAAGAGCAGAGCAGAAGATATGCCCACTGTAGCTGTGAGGTGCATCTGAAAGCCATTTTGTGAAAATGGTATGTGTAGGTGACCTTTTGCTCCCTAGCAGCAACAACAACAACAAAACTAAGGGAACTTACAGTAGGGAGCTACTGAAATTAAAATTATGACAATTTCAGTTTCATTGCATAAACATGATGGGTTTTATTTGCTTCTTGTTTATCTTTTCATTCAGCTTCTAGCTTAGGAAGTTGCTTAGGAAGTTACTTGGGGTTTGGGGTTTCTTTTGGTAGTTTGTTTTTTTTTTTTTTTTTTTTTTTTTTTTTTTGGTTTTTTTTTTTTTTAATGTGCAATAGTTGCTTGCTGGGACAATTGAGTGAAAATCTAGCTAGACAGACAATGAATTTGGTTTATGTCTTTCTCCATCACTCTGGAAGAAAGGGCTCATGTTGTTAATTAGTGATCTTGTACAGATGAGGATAAAGAAAGATTTAAAGTGTCTTAAATTGTCTTTTTGTTCCCTAGTTTCTGTGGCTTTCCAAAAATGCCTCCTCCTCCTTCTTTCAGAGGAGCATTGCTTCGATGTATCTGTTCATTCAGTGTTCTGCTTATGTGAAGCCATTAATATAATTTAATCCTATAATAGCCATGGGTTCTCTTGTACTTTGCAAAGTTATTTGCATCCAATCCAAACAGAAGAGTGCTTTATAATTACTGACTCTGGTAAGAGAATTGGATCATCACAGGCCATCCCAAGTCTGTGTCTTTCATCTTGAGGATCAGATGCCTCTCTGTGTTTTAAGTGCAGAGTTCCATAGGTTGATGGTGTTATAAAGAATAAAATTCTTTGCTTTTTAAACTGCGTTTAGTGAATGGTTAGCTAAGTTGCTTCTCATGTTTATCTTCAGTAATTCTCTGCTCTTTCAAATTCTCATTGAGATTTCTGAATACACAGATTGAGAATCAATATAGAAAAAACATGATTATTGAGTAGCTAGCAAAACCCAAAGCTGAGTCTGACTGGAAAACATTAATAAATAGCCAACTATTTATCCCTATAATTAATAATTTTTTTGCTAAGTTTAAACTACATTAATCTTTAAATCCTGGATCCAAAAATTAGGAGTAAAGGCAAATTGCTGTGCAAGAACTAATAAATTACTTCACTTTGTTCTTTTTTATTGGGAATTTTGACAGAAGAAATCTTCAAAGGTCATTTTCTGGTAGGCCTCATTAATTCAGTTTCGTGTCTCTGTGATCCTGAAGCTATGTTGTTCAAGCTTTATTGGGTTTATCTACTACCAAAAATTGCCACTTCATTTAACCACACATCTGCAGTACTTTTATGCTTGTACCATTGCTGTGTAAAATTAATCTTCTCTGATCTGAATTTTCACAGTTGTATGTATGGTTTGCAGAAGCAAAGAATGTTTATTGTGAGAACATTAATACCATCCCCTGCAGGTGAATTTCAACACAGGAAAATGGACAATTCTCCATAGATTGGTCCATCTGTAGAGAAATTTTATATTTTTATCATTTCTTGTAGCTGACTAAGTTTTCAAATTAACTTGATATAATTTTTTTCTGATGGAAGTGCTGTATCATATGTAAAGAAACAGACATACTGAATGACTACATTGTGTGCTGTACAATGGGACTCCTAAGAGTACCCAAGTGCCAAACCATGGTAAGGGCAGAATCCAGAGGCTTGCCCTTCATGTTTCCTGCCCAAGGCCAAAGAAGAGAGATGAAATGTCATGTGAAATTCCCTATTCAAGGTGTATTTTATTATGTACAAGAGTGATCTAATTCAGTATTGATAAATTCAGCTATGTTTTTAATAACATTGGAACTGGGTTTCACATATCCTTTGGAATTCCAGTACTCAGATAGATACCCAGATGCATTTATTTTGTGACAACTGCTGATTCAGATCAGCTTAGTAGAACCTGAGCTGTGAAATGTATTTCCATCTCAGTTAATATCTTCTGTAGAGTCAAGCTTGTGTTAACTTAAATTGCTTGAGAGACATGTGAGTCAAGCCATGTCTATGAAGCTGCATAGCAGCTGCAGATTTAATGAACTTCTTATAGCAGGTAGAGGGAATCTGTCATTCTAGGCTGTGGTTTACATCAGCTGTAAAAAGAAGTAATAGTAATTGTAGGACAAGTATTTGTTGATGTGTAGTTTTCTTCTTTTCTATCATTTTTCATACTTTAATTTGGGCACTTAAGCAGAAATGCATTCAACAACTCTGCTTCCGTCTGGAGTCCATTCGGTGGTAGCAGTTTCTATGGTGCTATGATGTAATCTCTTGGTGGTCTTATATTATTAATAGCACAATTACATTTTTAAAAATTGATATTTTTTATTCACACTGTAAACCAGGTCCATAATAGATGCCTATATATGGAACAAATGGTGGTTCTTCATTTATTTTCCTTCTCTTGCATTTTTTGTTTCTTGTATATTTGTTAACAATTTCTTGCAGTGACGCAAGGGTTTGTTATATCTCTGATGTGGGAATACAGTGAAAAGTACATGGTTTTAAAAGCAACTTTTAGTGAATAAGGATATAATTTATTATTTAGTGTATTAACATGAAATTACATTCTCATCTTGATTCATTAGGTGCATGTATCATAAAAGTGTTGAAGTCCACAGTGTTTGAGTTTTGTTAGTTTTTACGTTACATAATCTTAATTTCACAACAGCAGTTCTCACAGGCTAGGCACACAAAGACCATATTGTTTTTAAACAGACTGTCATATCCTCATTGCAGTCATGAGTCTGTGGAAGCAATGTGAGCCTTTGTGCTTTAAGGGGAGGCAAAGGAAACAGGACTCATCGCTGCAAGCACCACCAGTTGCCTGATCCAGTATGTCTTTCTGGTCATTGCCTGAGAAGAAGCTACCTCTGCTTTGCTCATTGTGCAATATTGTATTTGGGGGATGGAGGAAAGGGAATGAAAAGGTACCCTTGTAAATGTGTTTACAACTTGAGTATTTTCCTGAATGACTCTCTTGTCCTTATTCAGTGGTCTAAAAACTCCTCTTACTAGGATCGTTGTATCTTTCACAATGTTTCTACATCTGCATAAAATCGGCTGCATATGGTGTGTTTGTTCAATAATGCTTCACATAGAAGTCAGGGGAATGGCCTTTAAAGTATAAAGAATTAGTTAATTAGTTATAGAGGGTATTGCAAGATTGTGAGATATTTGCAAAACAAATTATTAAAATATTTCTTTCATTTCTTTGTAGATTCTGGACAACCAGGAAGTCCAAGCCACAATGATCCTGCCAAGAATCCACCAGGTAAATATAAGTTCCAGAACATGTGCATTTAACATTATTTGAGAACAAAGATACTGCTATTAATAGCTAAAGAGACTGTAATTAGTCAGCAACCTGTTTTGCACAGGTAAGTGTATATAATCAGGACAAGTTGTGATACTTTAGTTCGTTTAAACTGACAGTGCCACAATTGCAGTTTCATCAGCATTCATTTAATCTAATGAGTTTTTCTTTCATTTCATCATTTTAAAGTGGGGATGGTTAGAGAAGTAAGGAACCAAGATCCCAAATAACTTTATTTTTAGAAAAGTCTTCAAATGCAACCAGTTGTATTTCATCTCAGACAAAACACAAATGACCTAAACTCTGTGACTGAGCTACCAGTTTTTTATTTTTCATGTGTGCTTTATAAAATACTAATCTGTTAAATTTTTTGTATTTTTTTTCTGTATCAGTTCAGACCAGTTTTTGAACATATTAATGGGTCATGACTAGTGAAATTTGAAATTTCTATGAGAGAGATGCCAGTAAATGGCCCTTTCAAGAATTCTTTAAAAATACAAGAGAAAATGAAACCCAGACATTGCCATTCCAGTCTGTTTAGACGAAAGGTTCCTTGTATTTTCATGAGATTATCTTTCTAATCAATTGGGCTGTGCCAGTAAATCTTGTAAATCTTTGCCATGTTATGAATTTTATGAGAGAAAGACAAACAATTGTGACAGACACACTGTCACTTCTTAATGAGCAAGGACTGACTCCTGCCACCACCATCATGTTGTATCTTCTCATTTTAGCTCTCAGAGTATTTGTGTAAATGAAATAACTAACTCCGAATTCAACTAACTCCGTTTGATCTTCTAAATGCAAAATGAACCATATTCTGGTCAGGAAGGAATTTTGTGTTGCTGAGCTGTTACATATACATGAATATTTTCTGGATCTGTAGAAACATGAGAAAAAACAGCCTGCCTTATGGTTGTACAATTTTATACTATGCGTGCGATCAATGTATTCTCTATTTGTGAATTATGTCACATTTGTTGTTTGTGAATACCAAAAAGAGGGAGAAGCTATTAGAGATCATTGCACAAAAAGGCATCTTTCTGAAATATAAATCCTAGATGGATATACTTGAAGATAGCAGACATATTTTGGAGATAAGAGGGCAGAACAAGTCAAATAACATCATTCTAAGAGCTAATGCAAGGGATTTCTTTTTTTCTTCAAGGGGTGATGCAGGTTTGCTATCAGTTTCAGTTGGAGACTTTGATGCTGTTTCTTTCCAAACAGTATGGGATGTTAAGAGTAGAGTTTTATTTTTCTATTAAATATGTGCCATAAATTACGTAGAATAGGGGTTTAAAAACCCGAAGAAACAAACTTATGCATAAAATAAATATGAAAATTTCCTCATGGATGATTACAGCTTTTTGAAACTTGGAGCATTTAACTATAGAGCATTTATTTTTGTTTTGGAGTATCTCTGTGAGTGCAAGAAAAGCCAAATGCGTTACTTTACCCCTTGTCATTTTGAAGGAACCTTCTGGGTTTGGGAAGCTGAAGGCATAGTCCACTCATCTTTAACATGTTAAAAATTCTGATTTGAAGTACCATTTAGCATTTGGAGTAGGAAGGTAGTATATATTTCACTTGTGAGGATCACACCCTGTAGTGAGCCCAGTCTCTCCAGCCCTCAGTCTTAACTCCAGTAAGGAGTAATGTTGCTGCCAACAACAGAGCCCTGGGAGGGCAGCAGATGAGCTGTATGGGCTTTCTTGTGACAGACTAGTGGGTCAAGCAGTTTGTCTCAAAAGGTGGAGGGATATGGAAAGCAGAGAAATCTGTTGCTGATTTCATCATGTGACTTTCTGCTTAAAAGATGAGCATAACAGTTTCTCATGATTGGGTGTCACTGCAGCCAGTTTTATTCCTTTGTCTGCTGCCAAGTGGGGATAGAAAATAGAAGCTGCCCTTGAAACCCTTCATTTAAACAGAGACAGAGGCATAATTGAATGTCATCTATCAGAGGAGACAAGAACTACTGGCTTGGTTCTGTTTCCCTGTGTGATAATTATTTGGAGTGAAACTGGCAAGGTGAAAGTGCTGTGGTTTATGGGGCAGCAGAACTTCCAGGGCTGTGCAGGAGAATGAGAGGGAGTTGCTTGTCTGGGAGAAGGACTACTGTCCTATTCTTTCCTACTAAACTTCACAAAATTCTTCTTATTAGAGCCAGACAGTCACTCTGTCAAAACCCTGGAGGATATCCACTCTGAGGTTTGTTTTCAGTCCTAGGCCAGGAGCATGTGGACTGGTAGTGCCAGGAAGGTTGTCCTTCCATCATGTTTTATTCTAGTGGTTGTATGTTGAGGAACCAGGAAGCTGGCAAGGGACATGTGCTGTTAGCCTTTGGATGCCACCACCTTCACAAAGACACTGCCAGGGAAGAGGATGCTGGAAAGTGAGTGGTAGTTGGCAAAGCTGTTGGTGTTCAGAGTGGTTCGTTCTAGGTTTGGCGAGACTGTTGCATTCTTTAGGGTGTTTGGTAATTTGCTGTCCTAAGAGCAAATTGGAGAGCGGGTAGTGTCACTCGCCAAACAAAAGAAAATTAAGAGCACGAGTTGGGAAACTCTACATTATGTTCCTAAAAATTTGCTGAATGCTTTGATAGCCCAATGCAGTATTAAGATGGTGTAACTTGTGGTGAAAGTGATATGAAGCTTTTGCAGCAAAATCCAGGGGTATCTTCCTCTAAGTTTTATTTTTCAACAACTTAGGATTATATATTTTATAACATATATATTTAAATATATATTTATATTTACATATGTTTTTGTATTTTTCGAGACTGAATCCTGCTTTTCTGAGAGCTGGGTTGTACATGTGCAGGGACTATTAGGCTCCAGCCAGACAGATAAGAGAGGAGAAAAATCAGAACACTTGTATGGTCTGCATCAGCCATTAAGTTCCTGGTATCTAACTGTGCTGTACTGACACTGTCTGAACTATTAAAAGTTTACTTGATTTAAAAGAGAGAATGGACATGTCCATGGCACCAATAAGGGAGTCTGAACACATAGAGACAGACCTAATTGATAAGTTTTAAAACTGAAAATACTCATATTTTTGCACACTGAAAACAAACACCAGCAACACCAAAAACCCAAAAATGAGTCCAACCCAAGTACTTTGGACATGTCATCTTTCTTTGTGCTCAAGAGTGCTCTGAGCTATTGCTGAAGCATTCTGTTAAAGGTAACATAGTGGGGCAGTTTCAGTGTAATGCTGCATTATTATTTGCTCCCTGCAAGCCCTGTAGGTCTTTCATATAGCTTAAGAAAATCTGAAAAACGAGCCTTCACAGTGTGTCTCAAAATACTGCAGTGGTGTGGCAGGATATGTACTGAAGACAGAAGATGTCATCTTTCAGTAAGTTCATCTCTTAGGCATAAGAAAATTATGAGCATGTGTAAAAAGAGAAAAATATCTGGAACTGTGAGTTAGCTAATGATGTTGATATCAATGATGACAACATGGTTTTCAGAGATGCAGTTCTTACCAGCCAGTTCTTCTAGATGAGGATTTTCTGGGTTTTATTATCACTTCCGTTTCTGCCTATTGCCCACGACTGTTTGCCATTACTAAGACTACTTTTATTTGCCACTGGTTTGAGGTTGCTGCTTGGCAGAGTTGATTGATTTATACACCAGCAGCAATAAAGTCCAAACCTTTGAACACAGCCTTTTAAAGCTACTAAAGTAGGAGTAAGAAATAGCAACATTGATAGATAGAGTAGGCTGCTATCTGGCTAGGACAATAAGGACAGGGAAATTGTTGTAAAACTTGCAATTGACTTCTTTTTGCATGGGTGCCTTCTATATTTTGGACCTATTTTTGTCCAGCATTGAGGAATAAAAAAATATAGCTTTTCAGAAAGTACAAAGGAAACCTAGCTGTCCTGACACAGACAGGTATGAGCCTTTTTGGTGAGGGAAGACAAATGTGTTCAGATTTTTCTTTTCATCCAAGGAGTTGAGTTCAGAGGTTACTAGAGTTATGTTTCCTAGCAAGAAGTAAACTCTAGGTCTTTTATTTGGTTGGATATTCCACTTTAGCTGGTTTAAGAAATACTTTCATATAAATTTTTCCACTCTGTAAGATCAGTCAGGATGCAGAGAGCTCAGGTTTGAGCCTGTGTGCTGATGAATATTAAATTATTTATATGGAGTAACACTTTTAGATAAAGAGATGGACAAACTGTTTCTACCTCTTTGTCTTTTATTGCTCCCCACTGGTTCCCTTCTTTCCTCCACAATAATCCATGATATGTTGTCAGGGAATTTGCCTAGAGATAAAATCCTTAATCTGAATGAGGCGTAGGCAGTTGAATCTCCAGCCCCAGGCTCACAGCTCTGGAATTGTTTTAGTCCCTATATTTTCACCAGAAATTTTGTTCTAGGAACCTCTTCCAAAGAAGACCTAAGTGAAGTCACCACCTCTGAAGTTTATTTTGTTTGTTTTGTGTTTCTTTTTTTTGTTTTGTTTTAATTAAAGAGGGTGTTGCCAAAAAGTTTGTAACGTGCCTCACCTCTGTCTCAATATGCAAATCTATCTTGCAGCTGTAGAGCCCCAAAGGCTTTTCTTGCACTTTTATATGGGCTAGCAGCCATAAGGAGAACATTTTTTTTTAATCAAGCCCTAAGAAGTGTGTAATAAATTTGCCTGTGTATGGCTGTTTTACGTAGAGGTATTTCAGTTTTAAGTTTAAAAATGTGTAGTTTCAAAAGTAATCTCTGAAGAGGAACATGGTTTCAACCTTTGCACTCTTTTGGAAATGCAATAAACAAATGTCTTGGAGTTTTGAATGTCTCAAACCAGAGATGGTTTCATTATTTTGCTCTATTGCAAGCTACCCTCTTGTAGGTGGAGAATTAGCCTCTTAATTAATGGGAAGAGAAGAGATATTCCCCGGCCTCATCATTGTAAGCAGCTTTTCTTGTAGAACCAATGATGCCATAATA